GCCCATGCGCGTCTCTGTGCCCGTGCACGTGTGTGTGCGCCCATGCGCGTCTCTGTGCCCGTGCACGTGTGTGTGCGCCCATGCGCGTCTCTGTGCCCGTGCACGTGTGTGTGTGCCCGTGCACGTGTGTGTGCCCATGTGTGTCTCTGTGCCCATGTGCCCCTGCACACAGGTGGCTTCCCCGCCTCTGCCCAGTTTGCCCTGTAGGGGCATGGCAGCGGGGGTCTATCTGCTCACATTCTCCTGCAGAGACCACAGCCCCATGCCGGCAGCCCCCTGCACACGTGCTGGCCCCGCCTGTCCATGGTGGTCCCGGCTCAGGTGGCTGTCTAGTCTCTGAGCATCTGGGCCTGGTGGAACTGGGGTCTGCTTCTGGCTTGGGACGTTGGGGCTGGGGGAGTTTCCGGAGCTGGGGTCTCTCTTGCCTGCTTCCCATCAGTCCTGCTGCTACCCACTGTCTGGGAAGGGGGCTTGCAGCAGCCATGCCTGGTGCTAGAGCCCCGGGCGGGAGTGGGGGCTGGGCCTGGGGGCTGGAGGGGTCGGCCCAGGCTCTGGGGGCAAATGGGGGAGCACTGTGCAAGGTCCAAGAAGCCAGAAGATGGGTGGGGTTGGGGGGGCAGGGAAGGAGGGCACAGGGAGGGTGGTGGTCCTGGGTGAAGGACCCAGGTCCAAGAATGGGCGTGGCATCTCCAGAACCGCAGAGCAGTCTGGCCGGAGGGCTCACCAGGCCAGGGCAGGAAGAAGGTTTGGAGAGGCCTCCGTGGCCTGTGGCTTATGGGACAAGGCCAGCCTTTCCTCTCATGCTGGCCAGGAGCCTCAGGAAGTTTCTGCAAACAGTGATGGGCAGGACTGATGGGGGCTGGGAGGGCAGGAGAAAGATGGCTGCAGGGGACAGGCTGACGGGGAGGGCCAGTGGGTGTCTGCGGGCAAGGGGTGTGGTGGGAGCCTCTGGACCCCCAGCTGCTGTCTGCCTGGTGCCAGGTGGACAGGGAAGGAGGAGTCCGATTTGGCCCAGCTGGGCTGTGTCTGGGAGTTGGGAGTCTGAGGCTTGGGCGGGGGCATTGGAGTGCTTGGGCTGGGAGGTCAGCCCGGAAGTCCCTCTAGGGAGTTCCTCCTCGGTGGAGGTGGCGCGTTCAAGCCCGAGGGACAGTGTGCCCTTGCTCCTGCACACCCATGCCTGCCTCGGGCCGGCCTGTGTTGTGCCGCATGCCAGTGTGGCGCGCCCCTGCCCAGGGCCCGTCCCAGGCTGGCAGCGCCCCCGCGGACCGACACCTGGCAGCATGATGGCCACAGCCCACCCCCAGGCTCACCTTCCAGAGACGGGGGCCCTTTGGCGCCAGGGTGTGTGGCGGGCTGCAGTGGGTGGCTGGCCCGTTCTCGAGCCCTGGGAGGTGCTTGGGAGGGGTGCAGGAGGAGGCAATCCCCCAGACCCCGCGGCGAGCCCTGTTCTCCGCGCGGCCCAGCTGCACTTGGGGAGTCGCGGCAGCTGCCTCGCGGGCGGCTCAGGGACTGGGGCTGAGGCGAGCCTGAGCGCTCAGGCTGCCCCAGCGAGCTGCTGGCTCCGGTCAGCCCCACTGCAGCTGGGAGACTGAGGCCCAGGTAAGGGCGTGCCAGGGTACTCCACCTGTGCAGGGTGCGGGAGGCCCAGGCCAGGGCAGGGGGTGGGGCGGCTGCCGTGCAGGGCTGGCTGGGATGGGTGAGCGCCGGGCCGGCCTGCATCTGGGACAGGCAGGGGAGTCTGTTGGAGGACGGGTGCCTGGCACCCAGGGAAGACGCTGTGGCCGGAGCTGTCCGGCTGCAGGTGCCATGTCTGTGTGAGGAGATCAGGGTGGGGGCAGAGGTGAGGCCTGGGGGGAGAGCAGTAGGTCTCAAGGTGAGAGTCGTGTCCCCCCCCCGCCCCGTCGGAGGGCGGTTGCTGCAGGAGGCAGGTGCGCTGGCAGCGGGAGCCCCGCCAGGCTGTCCTGGGGGCCCCTCCGGGCAGATGCTGGCAGCAGGCTGCTCTGCGGACCCAGCCCCCTTGAGCAGCCCCGGGGCAGATGGCCCAGGGATGGCCGCGGTGTCAGGGTGGCTCCAGCTGGCGCTGCTGAGTGCCTCGGATGGTCCCTGTACCCCGCTTCCTTCCAGAGGACTGAGGGTCTGCAGCAGGATGAGGTGTGGGTCCCGCGTCCCGTTCCATCTTCATGCCACCCCCCCGGGCCCCCCACCGGGACAGCATCCTTGTGGGTCCAGCTGGCCACCTGGGGCCTCTGAGCGCAGGCAGGGCTGGAGCATGGAGGCTTCTGCTGTGGGTGAGGGCCACGGCCCCCATGAGCCCTGCCCACGATGCCCAGCCCTCCAGGGGTCTCTGCACATCTGCCAGGCTGAGGAACCTGGGACAGGGCGGGGCTGGGCCAGAGCCCTTGCCCACCACATCCCCACCTTGCTGTGTCCCTGGGGCTCTGGATGAGACAGGAGGCCCTGTCCTGGGGGCTTCTAGTCCTTGAGAGGGTGCCGGGGCCACTCCTGGAAGCCAGGGAGGTAGTGGGTTCTGTGGGGGCAGCTGCCTCAGGAAAGAAGGGTCTGGGTCCTCACCTGTGGGAACAGAGAAGCCTGGCGGTGTGGGGACACAGGGCATGAGGTCCTGGGGCACTACCTCGTGGGCTAGGGGCCATTCGGAGCCAGGCAGTGGAGAGCCGCTGTGCAGCCTGTCGCTCCCACACAGGGGCTCTGGAGGGAGGTGTGGGGGTCCTGTACTGTCGTCCCAGCAGGTGTGAGCATCCAGATTGATGGTTCTGCTGGCATCTCGGGGCCGGTCCCCAGGCCTGTGTCTCCTTAGGTGGCAAGAGAGCGATGCAGGGGCCGCCCAGACGCCTGGGCCTCTGGCAGAGTGGGTGTGGGGTGGGCCGTGGTGGTGCGCTCTGGGCCGGGACCGCTGACCTTGTTTCTGGGGGACGTCGCCTGGGCTGGCAGTGTCTTGGCCGAGGGAACGTGGCCCCATGACCCTGTCCCTGCTCTGGGCCGGGAGTGCTGCAGCGGAGAGGTGTGCTGGGGGTGGTCTCGTTCTTGCAGCCGACTGTGGGAGGGGGCCTGGTGACTGGCCTGGGGAAGGGTCCTGGGAGAGTTGGGGGGTGAGGGACAGCGGGCACATGTGTGTGTGCACACGTGTGTGTGCATGTGTGTGTGCTTGGGGTGTGCGTGAGGCCTGTGCGCCCGGACATGTAGCTAGAGGGTCTGAGATCCATTCTGCACGTGCGTGGCCAGCACGGGGAGAGGCTGTGCCCTGTGTGGCCGGCCAGGAGTGAGGGGGAGGCCTGTCTGTGAGCTGCCCCCACTACAGTGCTGCTGTCCTCCCTGTGGCTCTGCCTGCCCCCACCTGCCCTTGGGAGGGAGTGGCATGTGCCAGATGGCCGGAGGCTCCCTGCCCTGCCTCTGGCTGACCCAGGCTTGAGGGGGGGCACTGGCCTGTTGGTGCTAAAGAGAGCTGGACAGAAAAGGAGGGACCCAGGTGGCAGCCGGGGGTGGGAGGACCTGGCCTTGGCCTCTCCGCGAATTCCTGTGGCCTGTTCCCGTGGCTGGGATGGTTGGTTGAGTCAGGCTGGGGTGGGCTCTCTGGGACACCCACACTCGAGGTGTGGGGGCGTGGGCTGGACCTTGTGGGCCCCCAGGCCCAGGCGGCTGGGGTTGACATTGAAGTGGGGTGGATGGGGCTCCTGCCGGGCTGTCCTCCACCTCCTGGGCCTCACCCAGCGGGGCCGGCGCGCTGAAGGCAACCGGTATGTTCCCAGTCCCGCAGTGTGGACAAGCAGCACGCCGTCATCAACTACGACCAGGACAGGGACGAGCACTGGGTGAAGGACCTGGGAAGCCTGAACGGGGTGAGTGCGACGGGCAAGGGGCTGTCGGTGCTGGCCGCGCCCCCTCAGGGTGCCCCTGGCGCTGGCCCGGCCCTTCGTAACCCTCCTTTGGTGTTGGCCGCGCCCCTTCGGGACTCTGCCCCTTTGCTGGCCCCGCCCTTCTCCTCTGCTGGCCCCGCCCCTCTTCGTGACGCCCCGCCCCCATACCAGCCGCACCTGTCTTCCGCACTCCAGCTCCTTCTGCATCCTGTTCCCCATCATGGCCTGTTCGTCCGCCTTGACCCCACCCTTCTTAGTGACCCCCCTTCTAACTGGCCCCGCTCCTCTCCCCAGCCCACCCCAGCCCTGCCCACCTGCTGTGGTCCCTTCCGTGTTGGACCCCCTGCAGGCTGTCTGCCATGACACCCTGTCCTGGGGGGGCGTGTGAGCTCCTGTGTGAGTGGGGAGGGGTCTGGTGAGGGGTCCCTGCGGGGTCCGGTGTCTGGCCGTGTGGTCGCGTGGTTTCCTTCTGTGTTCGGTGGACAGGCGCCTGCCCAAGGCCGGCCTTCCGCCCTGTGCCTCCCACTCGTGAGGTCTGCCCTCTCTGTCGTGAGCTGGGGGGTCCCGCAGCAGCCTGAGGCTGCCGAGCGCTGGGCACACCTCACCGCATCCTCCACGGGGCTCCCGGGGAGCGGTCTCAGGCTCTGGGGGTCTGCCCCTGGGCCCCTCCTCTGCTGGCCCTCGCAGCAGCCAGAGTGGCCCTACCTGCGTGAGGCTGCACGGGGCCCTGGCCCCCAGATCGCCGGGGCTCAGAGAGGTCCCCAGGGCTGCAGGCCTGGTGCGTGGTGGGGAGCCCTGGGTGATGTCCACATGTGGGGACCCAGTCTTGCCTGCTTGTGGAGCGCCAAGCCACGGGCTCGGGCTGACAGGCTGCACCCCGCCAGGCCTGCTGCCCTCTACTCCTGGCTCTGAGCTCACAGAACTCCTGCGTCACCCATGGCATGTCCAGCCTGACGCTGCCGGGCTTCCAGCCCTCTCTGCCACCCTGCTGGGTTGTCTCTGCACGACCCAGCCCTGGCCTGGGACCCCTCCCTGGGGGCCTGCCCTCCTGCTCACTCCGGAGACCCCCTTCTGTCCTGTAACAAGTCCTCCCTGGTTCTCGTACCTTCTAGTGACAACGGCCCAGTTGCCGTGCCCACGCTCCTCTGTCTCCTGTCATCTGGCTGGCCCCCAAGGCCCTGAGAGCGTCATCATCTGGCCAGACTCTGGTGTCCGTGGCCAGTCCGTGACGGCTCTGGTTGGGGGAAGAGGGTTTTGGAGGAGCAGGCAGCCTCACTCAGCCTGACCAGCCTTGCCATGGGGCCGGCCCGTGGGCGTCCCTTGGCCACCTCAGGGTCCCAGGCGCTGAGCAAGGCCAGTCCTTCAGCAGGCACCTGTCCCATGCTCCCTGCAGGGGTGAGGCTGGGTGCACGTGTGTCGGAGGGACAGTGCCTGGTCCAGAGCAGCACGGAAGGAGGGTGCCCCCGAGTCTTTGCCCTGCCTGCTGCTGGCCTGGCCCTGCCACCTGTTTCCTCCGCAGACATTTGTGAATGACGTGCGCATCCCAGACCAGAAGTATGTCCCGCTGAAGCTCCATGATGCCGTCCGATTTGGCTATGATATCCTTTCCGGGCCGCGCTCCCGCCTGCTGGCCTGTCGCACTGCTGTCCCGGCATAGCTGGGGCCCGCAGGCACGAGACAGTTGCCAGTGTGACCCCAGCCCCTGGCCCCTGACAGACACCCTGGTCACAGGAACCTGCTTCTTGTGTCCCGGCCTGAGTTTACACGGAGCCCCAGGAACAAGTGCGTCCCCCGGGACCCAGGGTCCCCAGTGACTGGGGCCTGCCCAGGCGTGGCGTCCTGTGCTCAGACCATGCATGAGTGGGGGCTGCGTGGTCGTCCTGGGGACCCATAGCCATGGCGGGAGCACGTGCTCTGCTCTCCTCTGCTGACACTCTTGTTGGCACAGCTGCCTGTGGGGGTGGACCCAGCCTCTGTCTGAGGCCCTTCCAACCCCTAGATCTCTGGGCGGCCAGCGCAGAGGGGTGGCCTAGGGCAGAAGCTGGGAGCTAGCTGTGTGGTGTGGCTCCTGGGCACGTCCCCTGCATGCCCTGCATGCCCTTGGCGGAGGGGTTAAAGGGCGCGTGATCTGGCGTGGCCCCGGCCCGCTTCTCCGACTCAGTGTGGTGCGGACACGGGCCTGGTGCACAAGCGGGTGTGGGGACCAGCGCAGTCCCCCCGCACCTCGCTGCTCCGTCTGACCTGTCCCCGAGTTGTGTGCACGTCCTGCTGCAGAGAATTCCCCAACCACATGGTCGCGTGGCCTCGTGCAGAGGCCGTCCTGGTTCTTCTGCTCTGGGTTTGCCTTAACCCGCGGCCACATTCCAACATGTACGTCCTGGAGCGGGTGCAGCACCGGGTCCCCGAGGAGGCGCTCAGGGTCAGTGCCGACGCCCCGCCGGGGGCCCCGGCACCCCTGCACCCGTCCTCACTCCCACGCCTCTTGGCTCCCTAGGCCTGGCTGTGGTACCATGAGTCAGCCCGGCCCGGCCTGGCCTGTCCTGCAGGATGGCCCAGTCTGGCTGGTGGGGAGGATCGCCACCCCCGCCCCCGGGCTGATGCAGCTGCTGGTGGCTGGGGTGGGGAGGAGGCCGGCGCGCCTGGCTGGGGGAGGGAGGCCCAGAGGCATCTTGGGTGCCGAGGAGGACCCAGTCAGGCTACCATAGGTGGTGGCCAGGACAGGCAGGAGGGACCTGGGTTGGCGGCCGTGGCAGGTGGGACCTGTCCTCTCCCCTTGCTCGATGGTGTGGGAGTCACAGAGCACTGACTTAGGGGAACTCGCCCAGTGCTTTCCCCGGGAGCCCGTTGTGGGAGACACTAGCCTTAGTCCCATCTTTAAATGAACGGTGGGTGGCGTGCGCAGAGTCACACGGCTCTTGTGAGCCTGGGTCTGACAGCCGCAGAGCTTAGCCAGGTGGGCCCTGCGTGCACGGGCTTGGACAGACCGCTGCCCCCACCTCCGGGGCCCCTGAGCAGCGTCCTCCATGGCCTGGGGCCCATCTCGCCCTTCCCTCGTGGGTCCTGAGTGGGCATTGCATGTCACCTCTGATGACTGCCGCCCAGCCCTGCCTCCCCGACCCGAGCAAACCCCAGCTCCTTCTTGGAAGCTTTGTGGCCATGAGGGAAGCCCCCCCAGCTTCAAGCCTTGGGGTGTCCCCTCCGTGGGGGCTGTGAAGGAGGCTTCATGGCTCATGGGGCCAGTCCCAGCCCTCTCTGGACCCAGAGGGAGGCAGCTGCCCTGGGGGTGCTCCCGAGCCGGCCCGGCCCTCACCCCTGCCCGTTGCCCGCAGCACGAGAAGTACACCAGCCAGCTGCAGGTGAGCGCCCGGGGCCTGGCCCCCGGGAAGGGCGAGGCACCGCCCCAGCACGCCCCTTGCTGTGAGTCCTCGGCCCCCAGGCCGGAGAGGGGGGACCGGAGGCCGGGAGCAGGTAAGGGCAGCGTCGTGGCAGGGTCCCGGGTGGGATGTGCACACAGGCCTGCCCCCCGTGGGCCTCCCCCACGGCGCGCTTTGATCTGTCTGTTCTGGGCCCTGCTCCCTTCCCAGTATAGCCCTTGATCTTGCCCGTCAGCCTCTTGGGCTCAGGCCACCCCGCAGCCACAGCACTGAGCAGCCGTCCTGTGGGCTCAGGTATCCACACACCCCACAGCCACACAAGACACGCCCGCATGGGCACTGCGCCCTGTGCCTCGTGTGGCCTGGTCTGCCTGGTGGGTGGGGCCCCACCTTCAGGGCCGCTGCTCTGTGGCTCAAGTCACTTACAGACCTTGGAGAGACCCACCCTGGGTGCGGACCCTGCTGTCCGCCTGCCCTTCCAGCGGGCAGGCTCCGGGGGCAGAAGGCACAGGGAGGGCTGGAGGGGTGGTTTGCCCCAGGACGGGGGCGCTGAGGACCGTGCTGCCCCAGGTGAGTCTCCTGCACAGGGAGGCCTGGGCAGGGCCGGGGGCGGCGAGCACCACCTGCTGTGGACGTGGAAATGGGCCTTTGAGTGACCAAGTTGGCGCACTCCTGGCAGGGTCCTGGGCTGAGATGGGAGGTGATGCTGGGGACCCCCAGAGCCCAGAGCCTTCCCAGCCCTTGTCTGTGCTGGGGCCCCAGGGACCCTGGCTCGAGCTCCCTGTCCTTGTGCAGAGGCGGCGGCCTACCGCACACCCCTGTACGGGCAGCCCTCCTGGTGGGGAGAGGACGACGGCGGCAGCCCGCCGGAGGACCGGCGCCAGGAGGAGCCCTACATGGGTAGGTCCCAGAGGCCCTGGACCTTCTGAAGGGGGCCCGGCGGGAGTGCCTGTTCGGGGGGAGACAGCTGACGCTGCCGGCAGAGCGGGTGGGCGGAGGCCGCCACCCTGCAGCCCCCGGGGACATGTTTTCTCACCCCCAACCCAGAGCGGCCCAAGGAGCTGGTGCGGCAGGACGGGGAGCTCTCTGCGACGATGGCCGGTTTCCGGGCTGCGGCGGAGCCTCAGGGCTTCCCGTTCAGGCGGGAGCCCAGTTACTTTGAGATCCCCACAAAAGAGGCCCCGTCCCCGCCCCCGCCACCGCTGCGGCCCCCCGAGGTGTCGGCCCAGGAGGCACCCACCAAGGATACGGAGTCCGGCGGGGGCGGGGCAGCCCCTGTGGTGCAGAGCCACGCCTCCTTCACCATCGAGTTCGACGACTGCAGCCCCGGCAAGGTGAAGATCAAGGACCACGTCACCAAGTTCTCACTGCGGCAGAGGAGGCCCCTGGGCAAGGAGGCCACACCCGTGGAGGCCGTGTCTGCGGAGACCAAGGTGGCCGACTGGCTGGTGCAGAATGACCCAAGCCTGCTGTGCCGGGCGGGCCCTGGCGAGGACCGGCACAGCACCAAGAGCGACCTGCCCATCCACACCCGCACCCTGAAGGGTGAGCGCTGGGTGGGCTGGAACTGCAGCATCTTTGCCTCCTGGTGGGGCGCCCTCCTCCCTGGGACTGGTTTCTGCGTGCGCTGGGTTGCGGGCATGCTCCTGGTGCTCACCTCCCCGCGGGGGCGGGGGTCCCGTGAGGTGTGCCGCCCGGGGCAGCTTGGGGAGGGGCGAAGAGCCCCTCCCTGCCCCCCAGGACCACTGCATCCTTTCCCTCGGCCTGATGCATTGGGGTCCCCCCACCCCCAGGCCACAAGCACGAGGACGGCACCCAGAGCGACTCAGAGGACCCCACGGCCAAGGCGGCGGCGGCGGCGGCGTCTGGGGTCCCCGCGGAGGGCGGCGGGGGGCAGGTGCGGCTGCAGAGGCAGATGAAGCGTGACCCCCAGGAGCTGCTGCACAACCAGCAGGCCTTCGTCATCGAGTTCTTCGACCAGGACACACCCCGCAAGAAACGGTCGCAGTCCTTCACACACACCCGTCCCGGGGACCCCAAGGCCGACAGGCACCGAGGCCCCGGGCCGGCAGACAGAGACCGCTCAGGTGTCCCTGCCTCGGCGCGGGGCGCGGGTGTTGGCTCAGGGCCGCAGCGGGCCGGCTCGCTCAAGCGGGAGAAGACGGAGGAGCGTCCGGGGGGCCCCTCGCCTGCCTCCCGGGGCTCTGTGCGGCCCTTTGGCAGCGTGGGGCGTCGCTCCCGTCTGGCCCAGGACTTCATGGCTCAGTGCCTACGGGAGGGCTCTCCGGCCGCCCGGCCCAGCCCTGACCGGGCATCCCCAGCATCCCCGGCCCCCGAGACACCCCGAGGGGCCAGCCCTGTGGCCCCTGCGACCCCACCACCACCCCCCGCCGACCCCCAGCTGACCAAGGCTCGCAGACAGGATGAGGACGACAGTCTGAGCGATGCAGGGACCTATACCATCGAGACCGAGGGGCCGGACCCGGAGGTGGAGGAGGCTCGCCAGATGATCGACCAGGTCTGTGGGGTGGGGGTTGGGGGCCGGGCCAGGGCGGGGCCGGGCTGGCCCTGACCTCAGGGCTGGTCCTCCCTCCTCGCAGGTCTTTGGGGTACTGGAGTCTCCTGAGCTCTCCAGGGTGTCCTCAGCGGCCTTCCGTCCAGTCATCAGAGGGGACAGAGACGAGGCCGGTGATGGGGTTGCCCAGCGAATGGCCCTCCTGCAGGAGTTTGCCTCTCGGCCGGCGGGCACAGCCCCCCACGGGGAGCTGCAGGTACCTGGGAGGCACACTGCTCTGGGGAGGGGCTGGGCCGGTCATCTGGTCCCCTGTGAGCTCGAAGGTTAGGGTCTTGCCTGCACAGGATTCCGGAGTGGCACGCCCACCTGACAGGCGGGCGGGGGCTCCCATGTGGAGGTTCAAGGGCAAGCAGTGAGGTCCTAAGTCAGGCTGGGCCCTGCGTGCCCACACAAGGGCAGGTGTGAGCCACAGTTGCTGACCTCGGGGTGTGCAGTTGCGTGGAGGTCTGTAAGCTCGGAAGTACACACGTGGTTTCCTGGCTGTTTCTTTGGGGCGAGGTGCCTCAGGTCTGGAGACGGCGAGTTTGGGGCCAGGTGTTAGGGTGAGGATCCCCGTGGGGTTCCTGCCTCTGCTGCTGACACATACTCGTCCTTTGCCCTGCAGGGCCTCGCGGTGCCTGGCTCCCCCGGGGGTCAGAAGTGGGTGTCCCGCTGGGCCAGCCTGGCTGACAGCTACTCGGACCCAGGGCAGGCAGGTGAGTGGTCCAGCCTCCGCAGCAGGGAGGGGATGGGCCCAGGCTTCCTACTGGACTAGCAGCCGTGAGGGCGTGCCGGCCAAGTCTGGAGGAGGGTCAGGCTTCCGGCACACACCAGGAGCCCGCAGACCGTGGCCGCTCCAACCAGGCTGCCCTTGTCTTCGCAGAGGAGAGCCCTGGGCGCAGAGCCGGGGAGCAGGAGGGGGCCCTGCCTGTGCGCCAGCGACGGCGACTGCCACAGCTGCCCAGTGACCGCTCAGACAGCCCTGGGGGTCTTGAGGCCACCAGGAGGAGTGGCCCTGGGCCTCCGGAGTCGGCCAGTGAGCAGGCCGGCTGCCTCTTGGGCCAGGAGGACTTGGAGCCCGACAGCCTCAGTGATGCCAGTGGGTCGGACGGTGGGCGGGGCGCGGAGTTGGGTGCAGGCCCACAGGAGGAGAGACGCAGGAGCCCCCAGGAGGGAGTAGCGTGGACAAAGGGCCGGCGCTCACCAAGGGCCCCCGGAGAGCCAGCCGCCACCTCTTTCTTCATTGGGGACCAGAATGCAGAGCCAGCCTTCCCCAGGCAGCCCTCTGTGGCTGCAGGGCCGGTGGAGGGCCCAGGGCGGGCGGCCCAGTCCGGCCCCGCAGCGAGGGAAGGCGTCTGCGCCAGCACTGGCGGGAGGGCGGTCCTCCTGCGGCGCCCAGAGCGGTCCCTGGAGCCCGAGAGCCCTGCCCCAGCCTTGGTGCGGCAGGAGAGCTTCCGCAAGGAGCCGGCCAGCAGCATCCCCACGCCCGGCCAGCTTCCACACGTCTCCGGCCACCCCCTCCTGCAGGACCTGGCTGCCACCCGGGCCTCCCGCATGGACCCCCACCCCCAGGACACCCGCCTGATCCTGAAGGAGACGGAGACAGCCCTGGCAGCACTGGAGGCCCGGCTGCTCTCCAAGCCCGTGGAGGAGGCAGAGGGCCCGATGGGCAGCGTCCCTGGGCCGCCGGAGGACTCCCTGTCCGGGGACTCTGATGTGGACACGGCGAGCACGGTCAGCCTGCTCAGTGGCAAGAATGGGCCCAGCCCGACCAGCCCCAAGCCCGCAGGACCGCAGAAGGAGAAGCCGCCGTCCCCACCAGCAGCGCAGGACCCAGCAGGCATCTCCATGAACTGTGGCCAAGAGGTGCTCTCAGACAAGCACCGTCGTGCCCTGGGCCCCACAGACACAGGCCGGGCAGAGCCAGGGAGGCGCCTGGCAGCGCGGCGCGGCGCTGGGCCCCGGGTGTCCTCGGACTGGCCTGACGAAGAACAAGGCTCTGGCCCAGCCCACCCGCCCGGCACGGACACAGTCACCTCTGACCACGAGAGCCCTGTGGCCGCTGGGGCGGGGCGGTCAGGACCTCGCCGGAAACCGGCACCCCCGGCGCCACCCCCGACTCCCCGGGAGGAGCAGGCCCGCGGCTCTGCCCAGAAGGTACAGCAGGTGCTGACCCGCTCCAACAGCCTGTCCACGCCACGGCCCACGCGGGCCTCCCGGCTGAGGCGGGCCCGGCTGGGGGACGCCTCCGACACAGAGGCTGCTGATGGTGAACGGGGGCCCCCGGCCAACCCTGAGCCGGTGGGGCGGCCGGCGCCCGAGCAGGCCAAGAAGCTCTCGCGCCTGGATATCCTGGCCATGCCCCGGAAGCGGGCGGGCTCCTTCACGGGGCCCAGCGACTGCGAGGCGGCCCCCGCCCGCGCCGGCTTCTCTGGCCGCAGTGTCGAGTTGTACTGCTCCAGCCGCAAACCCGTCATGGCCGAGGCTCGCACCGCCGCCGCCAGGAAGTCTGCCAGTACCGCCACGGCCCCCCGCCAGCCCTTCAGCAGGGCCCGCCCTGGCAGTGCCCGATACTCCTCACCCAGTGAGTCCGGGAACAGGCGAGGGGCCCTGCGCCCTGCGAGCCGGGGGTAGGGGTCTGCCACGTCCTGGGTCAGCCCTGCTCAGTGCTGGGGGACCCCGGTTCCAGCCTAGAAGAGCCCCCGTTCCCAGGCAGGCCTGGCTCCACAGATGCACCCGAGGGTCCTGAGTCCACGTGTCCGCGTGCTCCGGGGAGCCCGGGGAGGGGCTCCTGCCGACTCCCACAGGGGGCCTCTGGGGCTGCCCGCTCTGCCCTGGTGCTGTCCCCTGGGGACCAGGCACTGGGGGAGGGCCGCGCGGTCTCCCGCACACCCAGGCCCCAGGTGGCCTGCGGTCTGCGCGCACGCGTGGTGCGGACAGATGGTGCTGGGGCCATGGGTGCTTGTCCCCCACCGGGGTGGCTGGAGGGCACTGGGCACGTTGGGGTGACCGGAGGAAGGGAAGGGGTGGGACGGTGGGGGAGGACTGAGGACCGCTGCCGCTCTGGCTGCGTGTTTGCTGCGGCCGCCGCGGGGGGCCTCAGAGCAGGGTGGGCGAGGAATGGGTCCCAGAAGACCAGGCAGGCAAGGGAGGGGTTGCCGAGCTCAGCCACCCTCTGAGGTCCCACCCCGCCCTGGGGCTGATCCACGTGGGGAGGTCGACCCTGACCGGGGGTGTCTGTGGGTTCCGTGCCTTGGCACCAAGGCCAACAGTTCTCATCTGGTGGGCACAGACCTTCCCCCTGGGATGCGGCCTCTGCCATGGGCTGTGGGGATGTCAGGCTGCCCCTTCCTGCCTGTCTTGCCCTTGTCCCTCCCTGTCCCTGCTGGTCTCTGCCTGTCCCTCCTTGTCCCTGCCTGTCCCTTCTGTCCTTTTCCCTTTTCATCTCTCCATGTTGTCCCTGCCTGTCCCTCCTCTTCCCTCCCTCGTCCCTCCCCATCCCCCCATGCCTCCCTGTGCCTCCTGTACCTGTCCCTGCCCCGTCCCTCCCTGTCCCTTCCCTGTCCCTGCCCCTGCCTCTCCTGTCCTTCTCCATTCTTCCTGTCCCTCCCTGTCCTTGCCCTGTTCCTCCTCTTGCTTCTGTCCCTGCTCTCTCCTCCCGTGGCCTCCCCATCCCTCCCTGTCCCTCTCCCGCCCCCCGCGCCCATGCGTCTGGGCTGGTGACGGCCTTGCAGAGGTGCGGCTCTGTAGCTGCTGGTGCCTCAGCGGCCGGGCTCTGGGCCAGGGTGAGGGGCAGCGTCAGTGTGGCGTGTCCTGCGGCGCGGGGCCGTCTGGAAGGACCCTGGGGCTGTGGCAGGGTGCTGAGCGCCGCTCTGTTCTGTTCTTGCTTCTGGAAACCATCGCGCCCTGAGGCACGCGTCGCCGGCAGCAAGGCTCCGACTGCACGTCCACGTCCGAGGAGGACTGTGGCTCCCACCACAGCTCCCCTAAGCACGCACGCTCCCTCGCCTCAGCAGCCACGCAGACCCCGCGGGCTGGCAGCTCCGGCCGCACGCGCCCCCGGGCCCCCGGCCTCCGGGACACGGACGATGAGGAAGAAGACCCAGACCCGTACGGCTTCGTCGTGCAGACCGCGGAGATCGCGGAGATCGCCAGGTGAGCGGCGCCCGCTCGGCGGGAGGCCTGGGGGCACCCCAGGGCGGGCACTGGGCTGGACACTGTTCTCTCGAGGGCGCTCAGCACGTGCCGCTCGGAGGAGGGGTGGGGGACGGAGGGGGGCGTGGGTGGCTGCAGATCTGCCCGGGAGGCTGTGGGGTGTCCGGGACGAGGAAGGACTCTACGGTGTTCGTTAAAGAGGAGCTCCCGCGTCGTGGTTCCCGGGGTCGCCTCCAGGCGGGAGGCTGGGAGGCTGATGCGCAGGTGGTGGGACCGGGAAGTGCTTTTCCACCGAGGGCGGTCTGCGCTTTGGTGGCTGGGTCCTTTGGGGCTTGTGCAGGGGCAGGAGGGGTCCAGGGCCGAGTGTGTGGCCCGTGTTTGGTGCTGAGGAGGCTGAACCTGTGCCTGGGAACCTCCAGACAGGTGAGCGGGGCAGGTAGTCCTTGGGAGAATGGTCCGTGGGGACAGAGGCACAGAGATGACGACAGCGGCCATGGTGGCTGCAGGTTGAATGGAGAGGACCTGTAGGGCACGAAGAGGACCGGGGACAGCTCCCAGGACGCGGGGGGCAGTTCCCGGGGCTGACGAGGGGCGGTCCAGAGGGGGCGGGCTGGGGCATCCTGCTGTGCTGGGGGCTGCAGAGAGACGTGGGGTCAGTGTTAAGTCAGGGGCACACGTCCGTTGGGCGTCCATGAGTCTGAGGGACGTCCTTCTGCATTTTCTTGGTGTAGGGAGGGTGGGAAGCAGTTGGGGGACCCCCATCTTGAGGGTCTAGGTCAGCCTTGCTGGCGAGGTAGGGGCTGGCTGGGGTAGTTTTCTCCAGCTGCGCTGAGCATTTCTGAGTTCAGGTGGTTATGCCGGGCAAGGGTGCAGGTGGCGTTGGGAGCGGACAGGCCCTGAGGGCCGGCTAGGAGGTGCCCCGTGCAGTGCTGGGACAGCTGAGGGGGGATGCCTGGGCCTTGGTAGGTCTTGAAGGCCCCGTTGCCTGGGCGCCTGCGGGCACTGGTGTGCCGGGGAACCTTGGGGCTGTTGCTCGTGTGCCCGCGAGTGAAAGGAGCCGTGCGGACTCTGACAGGCGACTCCCGTACACCCAGCCTGGGCCGGGGGCTGCAGTGTGCGGGACAGCCTGGTGGAGGGACCTGATGTGCTCCGAGGACAGGGCTCAGTCTGGGGACTTTCTGGGCAGTTTGGGGCAGAATGTGCTCCTGGTCCCTGCTGGCCTCTGTCCCTTTCCGGGTGGCCTGAGGGCCTGGTGGGGAAGCACGCATAGCCTGGCCAGGAGAGTGAGCAGGGCTGGGCTGGGCGGGCTGCTGCTGGCCTCCCTTGGCCTCTCTCCCTCCCCTGTGGGAAGGCTCCTGGTCTCTGTGCCTGCCCGTGTTACCCTTTGCCTGATTCTGGCCCTTGTCTGTGACCCCTTCCCTGCCTCAAGTGTCGGTGCCTGCTGAGTAGGCCTGGGTGGCCCCACCTGTCCCTGGTGGCGACAGGGGAAGGTGTGGCCTGCCCTGGGGCCTGAGGGTGCCCCCGTCCGCCCTTCCTGCCCAGCCCCAGCCCCACCCCTGGCCCCCCTCTTGGGGCCTCAGACACTTGAGCCTCCCACGGGGGTCCTGTCCATTAGGCATTGCTGGCGGCTGCTCAGGCACAGTTTGGGCCAGGCTGGGGGCTGCACACCTTGGCTGCTGTCTCTCACGGAGCACTTGCCTCTTGAAAGGGACCCCTGGCTCCACTGGAGAGGAGAGGTCGGCCCGGGGAGGGTTCTGTCAGGCTGCCACTCCCCAACCTCCCCAGCACTGGTACTTGGCCAGGAGGACCCTGCAGGACCTGCCTTCTCTCCTGCGGGCTGTAGGCTGAGCCAGACACTAGTGAAGGACGTGGCCATCCTGGCGCGGGAGATCCACGATGTGGCTGGGGACGGCGACTCGCTGGGCTCACCGGGGCCCGCACGCAGCCCCTCCCTCAGCAACGTGCCCAGCACCCCTGCTTCAACCATCTCTGCCCGTGAGGAGGTACACTCCCCCACCCCGCCCCCACCCCGGCCCCCCTGCCCCGCCCCCGCCACGTGCGCAGCTCTCAGCCGGGAGCTCTCACCACGGCGGTGAGCTCCCTACACGGCTGGCCTGAAGCACGAAGTCTGGGACCACCCTCCTTGGGGGCTGAGGGGTCCCGGGGCCCCCAGCGGGCTGCACGTGGGGTCCGCTCCGTCCCCCTGTCGTTGGAGCAGGAGAGGTGCGCGGTCGGCCCCCGCGGGCGCCAAGGAGGACCGACACCACCTGCCCTGTCGCAGCTGGTGCAGCGCATCCCCGAGGCCGGCCTCAACTTCCAGAAGGTGCCCCCTGGCTCCCTGAGCTCCCGAGACTTGGACCAGAACATGAACGACCGCTGTGGGGACTCGCTCGCCAGCAAGACGCGGCCTCGGAGCCGTGAGGAGGCAGGCCCCCCCCCCAAGCTGGCCGGCCCTCGGGGTGTGCCCAGGGCGGGGCCTTCAGGAGGGCCCCGGGCAGCGCGCTGAGCCCTGGTCCTCACAGGTGATCTTTGACAACCTGATGCTGAACCCCGTGTCGCAGCTGTCTCACGCCATCCGGGAGAACACGGAGCACCTCGCCGAGAAGATGAAGTGCGTAGGGCCCCACAAGCTCCGTGGGCCAGTGGGAGCTTCCCCCCGCAGACCCTCCCACACCCCCTCAGACACCGACACGAGCACGTGCACATCAGCCAGTACCCGCGGGGTGGAGGGGGTCGGACTGCCCGGGGGTACATGGGTGTACATGCCTCCCCGGCTCCGGGAACCAGGGCTCCCAGGACGACCACAACCCCCACCCCAGCCCTCCCTGCATCAGGCCCGGAGGCCGGGACTCTGGTTCCAGCCGGGCCCATTCCTGCTCTGGGCCTGTGTTCCCGCTTGGGTACAGGCGGGGGGTGGGGGGAGGAGGTCTGGGCGCGCGGGTCTGGGCCCCGTCATCGCTGTCCTCCGTCCGCTCCTCCGGCGCAGGATCCTCTTTCAGAACACGGGGCGGGCCTGGGAGGAGCTGGAGGCCAGAATCAACTCGGAGAACGAGGTGCCGCTCCTGAAGACATCCAACAAGGTGAGCGCCAGCCCGCCCCCCAGCCCCGCAGTGCAGGGAGCGGGGGACTCATCCGCTCGGCGGTTCTGCCCCATGTGCCCCCTCCCGCCCGCTTCCAGGAGATCAGCTCCATCCTGAAGGAACTGAGGCGCGTGCAGAAGCAGCTGCAAGGTGGGTGGGCCTGGCTGCGGCGGGGGGGCTGGATGGGGGGCCGGCTGCGGGGTGGGCACGGGAGGCAGTGCAGGACCCACCAGCTGGCCTGACCCTCCCCACCCGCCCTACAGTCATCAACGCCATCGTGGACCCCAGCGGGAACCTGGACCTGCTGACTGGGAACCGGAGCCCCGCGGGCTCCGCCCAGCTCGGGAAAGGCCGGCCGGCTGCCCAGAGCCCGTGCTCGCCCCCCTTGGCCCTGCCTCTGAGGAGCTTCCCACAGCGGGTGAACTGTGGCTCCCCAGGCCTCCCGGACCCTGCCCTCCTCCCCGACTTCCTCCCGGACGCAGAGAGGTTCCTGCTCTAGGCGCCTCCACGTGCCCTGGGTCCAGCGCCGCCAGCGCCCTTGTCTGCCGCCACGGCCCTTCCCGGCTGTGGACGGTTCACCGCAGACCCCCACATGTGCCATAACCCTGTGGGCAGGTGCCTCTGTGCCCAGACCCCGTCCCTAGCTGCCAGCCAGCGCCCCAGCTGGACGGTCCAGCCCCTGCGGCCACCCCCACAGGCCCTCTGGCCCAGCTCCTGCTGCGGCTGTTCCGAGAGCCGGCGTCCCAGGTGTGCCCTGTCTCCTCTCTACTCCTGTTATTTTGTCTTTAGCTCTTAAGGAAAGAGTGGCCTGTGCCACCACAGCAGCCCTGGGCCTGGAAGGCCATCGTCCCGCCCGTGTGCTGGGGGTGGCTGCTCTGCTACGGGCTCTGTGGGCTCAGCGGTCCCGTCCCTGTGGGCTGGCGGGGGCCAGGCCAAGGAGGAGGGGCTGGACCAGGGGGTGGGTATCATTCAGTGCCAAACACGGAGCCAGGAGGGGCTGCTGGAGCCCCGGGACTCGAGGGCAGGGTGCTCCCAGCTGAGCCCTTGCAGCCCGCTCTGCCATGGAGCCGGTGGCTCCCGCTGCCCCGGGGTCGGGTGGCCTGTGGAGTTGTCTGGGGCGGGAACCCCACTACTTCAAGCCTTTGGTGCCAATGCAACTGCCAAACCCACAAGTGTGCGGGCCGGGCATGCGGGCACACATGCTGGACACGCGCGCCCTCTCTCACGGCTAGCCCAGGCACGCACGCACATGGCCGGGCAGCCCTTCCCGGCCATGGAGCTGGGCTCCTGCGCTTGGCTTCCTGCAGTCCGCGGCTGGGGCTGGGGGCAGGGAGGGGAGCACTAGCCCGAGGCGGTGGGAAGCCAGGCTTCCCGACGCTTCCTGGGCTGCACCCCTCCCCCAGCCCTCAGCCCTGTCCCTGAAGCTGGGGGCGTTCCTGCGGTATCTGCAGCCAGCTCGGGGCCCAGCAGGCTGCTGTGCTCCTGGTCCCGTGGGGGTGGGGGGCACGGAGAGCCCCCAGGGACAGTCTTGCCTTCTCAGGGTTCTTCCAGCTGGGAACACGGGTGGGCAGAGCATGCGCCCCCCCCCAGGGCAGGGGGTGTTTCTGGAGCGTCTAAAGCCAAAGCGCCCTTGGGTGGTGGCAGGTGGGGGCACGGGTGACTCCGCACCAGCCCGGCCCGTGTGAGTGGCGACTGCAGGAAGGGCCCGGCGGGCGGGTGTGAGCCCGGCCGCCATGGGCGACGCGTGTCTGTGTTGACGTGCAGTCGCGTGCATGGGTCCTGGGCCCCTCCCCCCACGCGTGCGTGTGTGAGAGTGTGTGAGAGTGTGAGTGGTGGGCTCCCTGCCAGGACCCCGCCCCTGAGCCTGCTGTGTCCCCACGGAGGTGGCGCTGGGCCCCCTCCCGCCCCTGCATGCCAAGCGGTTGCCCGCAGCCTGTCCCCGGAAGCACGGTGGCCGTCTCATCCACACCCGCTCTGCCGTCGCCGCTTCTTATTCACCCACTTCCGCCCCTCCCCCTTCCAGCCTCCCACTTGGGACCGGTAACTTAGCTGTCTGGCTTCTTGGAGGTACTTCTGTCTGTCTGTCCTTAGGTGGTCTCATGGGTGTCTTTCCGGAAACGGTTATTTTATATGAGTTGTCATGGGGTTTGTCCTAATAAATCATTCTGTCACATGGCGAAGATCCTTGCGTCTGCTGCCTTGGCCTGGGTTCGCCGCTGCGGGGGTCTGGGGTGGGGTCTCCCCTCCCTGGCTGGGAACTCGGCTCGCCCGGCCCCCGGGGATGCTGCAGTGCCCGGGCCCAGCCGCCAGGGGGCGGCACAGGCGAGGACGCGGCCGGGAAATTTCGCGTGTTTCTCCCCCAAGAGAGAAATTGCTTCCTTGGAGCCGCTCAGGGGTGACCAGAAGCGCCCTCAGGCCGTGCTGTGGACGTGCAGCGGTCCCGGCTCCGAGTGCCCAGCCGCAGCTCCTTCCGATTCCCTCACGCTCTTTGTGGCTTCGGAGCGTCTCTGACCTGACCCCAGGCCTGTGATGACGTCCCCGGGTCTTCAGACACCCCCAACCCCAGCTGCAAGGAGGACCCAAAGGAGCTGGACGAGTGGGCTGAGGAGGGTGCAGCCTGCTGTCAGCCCAGGAGGCTGGCCGCCACAGAACCTGTCCTCCAGGTCCGTCCGCCACGCCCAGGAGTCACTAGTATCTCCTCTGTGCCCCACCTCGGCTCTGTTCCCTCCTCAGCTCTGTTCCCCACACCAGCTGTTCCCTTCCTCAGCTGTGTACACCCGAAAATCTGCACCCCCCAACATGTGGACGTTATGCTGAATTCAAAACAGTAACAAGGAACGGAAAAATGAATGTATTAACATAAAATTGTTCATAATATTCTTTTGCTTTTTTTAAAGTGTCTGTAAGACCTGTTTCTGGGCTCTCATTTTCAGCCTAAATAGGGTGATTCACACCTTCCTCTGTCTGCTCAGTTGTGCTGGGGTCTACAATCTTAGTATTCTTTGCACGGAACCAGCTGTTTGGTTTTGTTGATTTTCTCTGTGATACATTTGTTTTCTGCTTCATTAATTCTCCTCTTCTTCATCTTTGTTAGTTCTCCCCTTCCCTGTTTTAATATTTCTTTTTTCCATGCTTTCTTCCTTTCTTTATTTTGTGAGATTAATTTTCAGCTTTCCTTATTTTCTGATCTATGGATTTAAGGCTACAAATTTCTTCCTAAATATAACTTCAGCTGATCTCATGAAGTTTGATACATTGTATTTTCATTATTATTCAGGTGAAAAAAAGTTGTAGTGTTCATTAGGGTTCCTTCCTTGGCTCATGCATTATTTAGATGCATGTTGCTAAATTACCAAACATTTTAATATTTCTTAGTTATTCTTGTATAATTAATTTCTAGCTTATTCCCACTGTGGTCGGAATATATACCTTAAATTATTTCAATCTTTGGAAAGGTATAGAGTATGCTTTTTCACCCAGAATAGGGACAGTTGTAACAAATGCTTCATGTGCCCTTGAAAGTAATACATACTTCCATTTTTTGAGAGAGATTATCTTTTGTCAATTTGATCAGCTTTATTGTGTTCAGATCTTCAAATATATCCATTAATGTTATGTCTGTTTGCTCCACAGCTGCTGCAAGGCCGCATTAGTCCGCACTGATTATGGGTCTATTTCTCCCTTCAGTGCCATCAGTTTTTCCTGATGTATTTTAAAGTTGTGTTATTAGGTGCGTACAGTTTAGAATTGTATTCCTGATGGGCCTTTCGTCATCATGAAGTCTTCTTTTTTTTTAAGATTTTATTTATTTATTTGACAGACAGAGATCACAAGTAGGCAGAGAGGCAGGCAGAGAGAGAGAGGGGGAAGCAGGCTTCCCGCTGAGCAGAGAGCCCAATGCGGGGCTCGATCCCAGGACCCTGAGATCATGACCTGAGCCGAAGGCAGAGGCTTTAACCCACGGAGCCCCCCAGGGGCCCCCATGAAGTCTTCTTTATCCCTAGTTATTTTTCTTGCCTTAAAGCCTACTTTGTATGATATTAGTATAGCTATGTTAGCTTTTTTTTGTTGTTTAGTGTTGTCATAACATCCTTTTCATCCTTAAACTTTTGTAGACTTGGTTTTATAAAATTCAGTGTGACAACATGTGGTTTTTTTTTTTAAAGATTTTATTTATTTATTTGAGAGCGAGACAGTGAGAGAGAGCATGAGTGAGGAGAAGGTCAGAGGGAGAAGCAGACTCCCCATGGAGCTGGGAGCCCGATGGGGGACTCGATCCCGGGACCCCGGGATCATGACCTGAGCCGAAGGCAGTCGTCTAACCAACTGAGCCACCCAGGCGTCCTGACAACATGTGTTTTTTAATTGGAGTGTTTTTAGTACATTTACTGCAATTATCAACGTTTTAAACTTTGAATCTTCTGTATTATGTCTGTTTTTCTATTCTTTTTTAGGATTAATGAAGTATTAGTATAATTATTCCATATTTCCCCCACTTGCTTGTTTGTAAATGTACTTTCATTGTACTCTTTTTTTTTTCAAAGATTTTTTATTTATTTATTAGACAGAGATCACAAGCAGGCAGAGCAGCAGGCAGAGAGAGAGGAGGAAGCAGGCTCCCTGCCAAGCAGAGAGCCCGATGTGGGGCTCGATCCCAGGACCCTGAGATCATGGCCTGAGCCGAAGGCAGAGGCTTTAACCCGCTGAGCCCCCCAGGCGCCCCTCATTGTACTCTTAGTGGGTACTCCAACAACTATAAAATTCATCCTTCACTTATTATGGTCTAATTAAATTCTTCTTTTTACTACTTCCTGGCACTTACAAAACAATTCACAATTATAAAATTCAATGATAAAATTTATCTTTCACTTATTAGGGCCTGATGTAAGTTTTCAGTTTTACCACTTCTTGGTCCCTATAAAGACCTTCCAACACTTTAAATCTGTCTGCTTCTCCCACCTTTGTGCTACCATGATCAGGCATTTTAACTCTGCAAATACCGTAAACCCTACAGTGAACTATTTTATTAATTTCTACAGTCGACGTGGCCTAAAGGTATTGCCCTGTTCGTCTCTGCTGCTCCCCTCACTCCTGCACGACCGTGTTCCCTCGTGGGATCATTTGCCAATAGACCGTCTTTGAGTGTGTTTCTGCTATCGGTTTGCTGTGATAAAATCTCTCAATTTCTTGAGTAGGGGGTGTTTGGAAATGTTTTGCCTTTTCCTTTCACTTGGTGTACTGATAGAGTATTCTAAGTTGCCAGTAACGGTTTTGGGCACGCAAACGCGTTGTCCATTGTCTTCTGGATTTCACTGCTTACGTGGAGAAGTCAAACGTATTACTGTGGACTTTCTAGATGGTGTCCTTTTAGACTTCCTCTTTCTTTGTAGTTTTTCTGTGGTTTTCCTACGACGGGCATCTTCGCGCTCGTCTGTGTTGAGGTTTGTGGCCCTTCTTCCGGGGTGTCTGTCTGTCCGGCTTTCCCCGGTTTGGGGAACACCTCATCCATTTTCCCTTCAGACACAGTCTGCCCCGTCCCCAACTCTCTCTTGCTGGGATTCCCTTCACATGTGCGTCAGACCTTCACGTGCGCCCTGTGTGTCTCTCGCGCCGTGGTCCGTGTTTCCTGTGCGTTTTCCACCTTTTACTCTCTGCTGACCCTACAGCGGCCTAGACGTCCTTCAGTTCTGTCCAGTTGACTCTTTACTTCGGTTATTTTATTTTTAGTTCTAGAATTTCTTCGATTTAACAACACTATATTTCATTTCTCTAAGTGGAAATCTCCATCGACCTCATCCGAGAGCTCTGCCACCCGGACCCCGGCCTCTGCGCTTGGTTCTGTGGTTGGATGTCAGGTGACTCTTGATTTAAAGTGACAGACGCTGTGAAGGGGGCAAAGAGGGATCCCCTGGAGGAAGTCGTCGCTCGGAGAGGGTCACCGCTGAGCAGGGACCGGTCCCGTGCAGTCAGCGATGGAACTTCAGATGTGACAAGGTGTGCTGGACCTCTTCCCTCCTGCCTCCCGTCCTCCTGGGGCTCTGCTCTCCTGGGCTCAGCAGGAGCCCCACCTGTGGGTCACAGCTGCCAGCACCCTGTCCTCCGTGGAAGGAGAGCCCGGACTCAAGTTTGATCCCCAGAACCATAATAGCATTGAGATCTGTTCAGCTTCTCAGGCTCAGGGCTGTGCCCTCAGCCTCTTGTCCCTACACAGGACATCTGTC